GGGGTTTGTGTCGGTGGGAGGGTACTGGTTGTTTTCCTTATTGGGGTTTAGTGGTCGTTGGGTTTTACCCAGCGGGATATCTCGGCATCCAGGGGGTTGAGCCAGTTTCTCGAAAGCCCCTTGACTTCAAGAATCCTGGTGAATGACTCAAACGGCCGTTGGCGGGTCCAAGGCAGCGAAAGGGTGTGACATCCTTTTGCGACAGCCTTGGGCAACTCAGAAATTGGCGAGCTTAGAGGGAAATATCCCTGACTCGACTTTTTGGATGCAACGACAGAGAGGGATCCCTGCCGTGGTCGAGTTAGGATGCATGTGAGATCTTGACTAATACATACCAATAGCCTAACTCCCTGCCGATTTTTTGACCTTTTGGCGGTTATAAGCCGGCTGGCTAATGTTAACCAGGTTATAAACGTTTAGTATCTCGGCTAAGTTGGGTTATAAGGCTGCCAAATTCCTTGGCAAACGAGATAAGTTGGTCAAACCTATATAAGGTTTATAAGTCGTTTCTAAGGTTTACCAGAATCTATCTAAGGATTATAGGAGATATGACACGCTTTATAACCCCCGTTGTAAACCCCAAGCCAAACACTTAGCAAACATGGTCGCAACCCTTATAAGGTTTGGCGGGGTTAGCTTTTGGGATCTGTTTTCGGGGCTAATACCCTTAGCAGACTTAGCTTTTTTCGAGCACAGTCATGCGGCACGCAAACGGGAAGCCGAATCATTTACCTTTCTTCTTTTTTCTCGCCCCTGCGCATGCCGCCGCGGGCGTGAGCCCGCGCGGCACCCGCGCAAGCCGCAGCCGAGTATGATGCATGAGCCGCCTTGCGGACGCAAGTGCTCAGATTTGATATCAGATTCAGATTTTTCAGAATCTGAATTTTTCAGATTTTGTCAGATTCAGATTTTTCGGACTTTTTCAGAATGTGATTTTTTCAGATTTTTTCAGATCAGAATCTTCATCACTTTCTTTACATAAATTTCAGATTCAGAGTTTTCAGATTTTTTCAGAATCGGAATTTTCAGATTTTTTCAGATTCAGATGTTTCAGATTTTTTCAGATTCTGAAAATCTGAATCTTCATCACTTTCTTTAATTAAATAGTCAGATTCAGATTTTTCAGATTTTTTCAGATTCTGAAAATCTGAATCTTCATCACTTTCTGTACTTAAATATTCAGATGCAGATTTTTCAGATTTTGTCAGAATCTGAAAAATCTGAGAAAAACTTGAAAAATATGAATCTAACAAACAATCTCAAAACAGATGGGCGCTCTGATCCGAGCTGTGGAACCGCTAAAGAGAAAGGAGAAAAAAGATGAGCTGCGTATTTGGGGCCGCGCGGGCTTTGCTTGATGTCTGGCTTGCGGTAGGAAAACGCATTGTTGCACAAGTTGCACACAGGCGCTGCAGTTTGAAAGAAATAACCTTAACAGGTTTAGGTGGTTTAGCTAAACTTTAGCTAACCCCTTGCCTAAACCACCTCCTAAACCAGATTTTCTATCCCTGAAAAACCCGCTGCTAATTCTTATAATGACTTATAAGAGATATCTAATCCCCAGCCGGCTATATACTCCATCTTACTCAAGGTCCCAAAAAGGTGAACCTTTCACTTCCAGATCTTTTGACAATTTGCATCGAGCTTAGGGAGTCAGAGGCCGTGCCAAAAGCGCGCCTTGAGGAAGTGCCATCGCTGTCCACCCATTGCGACACATGTGGCCTGGAACTGAGAGCGAAGGTCCTAAATTAGAATGGGCTTGGGTACTTTAGAACCTGAGTTCTCATCCTGGAATTGCCCGTGTTTGCGTGTGTGTGTGTGTGTGTGCGTGCGTGTGTGTGTGTGTCTCTTTGTCTCTTTGTCTCTTGTTGGGTTGTCTTGTCTTGTCTGGTCTTGTGTTGTGCTGTGTTTGTATGTGTGTTTGGGAGATAGTTTTGCCCTTTATATCAAACGTGTGGAGTGCGGACCATCTCATTCCAAAGCGGGTATATGTGAGGGTGGTCTCTGTTTGCTTGAGGTGTTATGTTTGCTTGTCCTGTGGTTTGAAAAGGGAAGTTATTTGACTGCTGAATCTGTTGCTTGCTTGTGGCACTGAAATAGGCAACCTGTTTTTTTCAACCAGGAGGTACTGGCAATCCTCATTCTATCCAGCCGAGAGTTGTCGGTTCACCGTCGGAAATTGTAGTTTCGGGATCGGCGCTGGGCGCAGTACAAGGACCCGTAAGGGAGTCTGATGTTTGCTCGTTTCCCTGCTGGACTTGAACGTTCTGGCATGGTGGGCTACGGGAACACACACATATATGTTATATTTCACCTGTTGTTTTTTAAAGGGAATCTTTCACTACTGGATGTTTTTCTTTATTTTCCTGGGGACTTAAGCAAATGGAGGTGTTCAAATTTTACTTGTGCTGTGTCTCCCCACGGAGCCGTGTGTTAGAGCACATTCAAAGCATCGGCCGCTCCGGTGTCCGCTTCGTGCCGAGGATCTTGATACCGTTGGCTCAAGGACAGGCGCACAGCGGCACGGCGTGGTGCGTGCCGCCTCTTGGTCTCTTGTTTTGCAACTCGTGGCTTTGAAGTTTTTTGAGGGCCTGCGGCCTGTATTCCCGGACTGGGTCACAACGTGTGGGTTGGTTTCATTGACTTGCACAAATCCGCAAGGAGGGCTTCTTTCACTGCCTCATCTGACTACTCAGCGTGGCTTGGCCCGATGCAAGTCTCGGGATGTTGGGATCATGCAGCGAAGTCTTGGAATTTCATTTGCGATAACCATGAAATCCGTTTGGCTAGCTGATGGGTGCACCCTGCAACGGGTGTGCCACGAGATTCAGAGGTCCCAACAAACCCTTTGTAAAGTCAAAGCTGTATTTCGTAATTGAAAAAGCAATATGCAGTGGCAGGGTTGTAGTTGTGGCAGGTTTTAGGCTGCCCTTCCAGATTCGCAAGTCTGGAGGTTTGTCCTTTGTAGTCAATTATTAGTATGGCAGTACCGGCCCCCCTCCCCACCCAAAGCAGATCGGGGGGAGCAAAATCAAATTGGGGGGTCAGAGTTGTAGTCTCTCAGTAGGTACTGCTTAGTAGTAGTGTAGGTTGTCTTAGTGTTGCTGTGATGCCACAAGCTTACTTACACGTGTTTCTTGGAGAACGGCCTCTAGGAATATATCATAATTTCTGGTGCGCCAAAATACGTCACCAAGGCTTTTTTGCACGTCCTTCCCCTTAAATTTCAAGATGGGGGGGAGTTGCAGGAACTCTTTTCTGAGTTGCCTCCCCATTCGCTACTCGCTACCCGGCATGACCTATTTTCGGGGGTGGCCGCACAAGGAAGCCAACAGCAGCCACCTTTTGGGGTCAATGCCAAGCCACCTTTGTAGTTGAGTGTTTTCGTGGATGGTCAACAGGGGAAGCCAAACACCTTGCCGCCAAACACCTGGGAGTTGAGCGATGTCTGCCCATTCCGGCGGTCTGAGGCTTGGCGACTTTCAGTCCAGCCAGGCCCCTTCAACCTTTCCATTTCGGGCCTGGCTGCTCGCACTGGCCAGCGATTCCCACGACTTACGCTGGACCAAGCAACTTGCTTTCCGAGAGTTCTTGGAAAGTGATTCTTGTCGCATGGCAACATGTTCAGCTCAGGTGTTGAAGCCTTATCGCCTTCAACCCTTAGGATAGACATTGTGACCCGCCCCGGCATGCTGAACAGTAGGCAGATGAGATGCCAGATACCCCTGAGACAAAGTCACGAGTGTGGATGCGATCACCGTGAAATCTGCCATATGCCACATGTGTTTGGTGATGAATCGTATGCGGGTCCTGGCTATTTGAAGCCTGCATGCTGCATTTAGAGTTGTGTCCGGATCGTGAATTTCATGAAGCTTGCCCAGTTCGTGAATTGCAGGAGGCCTGCTTACCATTTTAGTTGAACGCACACGCTCACAATGGTTCGCAGCTGTTGCCCCTGTCATTTGCGTTTGGACGGTGGTGGATTTCATTGTGCATCAGTGTTTGTGCCGATTTGTATGTGAGTTTTCCGAATTTCCTCCAAACTCCAGAAAATCTGAGCTCCGTCTGAACAGCGCCAGGTGGAAACCTCAGCGCTGGCCTCGGGGCAGGCTTTTGACTATAAGGGCCTACACACTTCCATTGGCTTAAGAATATGCTTTATGTCTTCCTGTGGGTATATCAGTACTATGTATGTTTTACATCACTACTTTGGGCTCAAGGAAATGGAAGTATTTAATATTACGTGTCCTCTAAAATGATGTTCATATTTGGGGTAGACTACACAGGAAGCAGGCCCGGAAGCACATTTTTGAAGTACACCAGCTCAGGTGTTTTTTTGCGGTTTTAACACCGCCTTTCAGTTCCCAAGTTTTAGAAGTGTCCTAGGCTGGCTACTTGTTAGGCTTCCTTATGTGCTTCGTATTTTCCAGGTGTGTGTTTTGTTCTGGGGCTGGGTAGGCCACTAAGAGCGTGGGGTTAAAGAGTTTCAGGCGCCTCGCTCACACCCCGTCGGTGTATGTCAGACCTGTAGGTTTGGATTTTGCCGCTCTTTGGCACTCCGGAGAAAGCTGTGCTTGTCGGCTTGGCGGGTGGGGACATTTCGGCCAACAAACGTTTTTTGCTGTTGCACTTGAAGGGAGGGTTCTGTTTCGCAGAAGTTTGCTTTCGCGGACGTGTTGGGTCAAAGTAGGTCTTGCAAACAGACGTCCAATTGAGATGTAGAGAGGAGTGCTCAGGCAGAAGGCAGGCCAACAACACAGATCCCATTCAGAAGTTGTTATCCACAGGGGGCTTTCAAGTGGTGTTGGGATTTTTGGACGGCCTGGCTACCTTGGATTGAATCCGACTTAGTTTGGTATTTTGTCAATTTGGCCTTCAGGGCAAGTATTCTGCGTGCGGTATGCTCCAGCATTTACGGCTTGTTCTCGTGGTCGGGGCAAATTTCAATAGTGCTTTGAGTGCGTGAAGTGATGCGGCTGCCTCGACTGGGGAACAGCGGGGAACCAAGTACACAGACTGGATGAAGTCGCGTCCCTTTTATGTTGGCATTTGCGCGCCATGCTGATTCAATGTTGAGAAAGTCGTAGCCGCTTGCGTTACAGTTGAGGTTTGGAATTGAGTGTTTTCAATGGCGTTGAAATTGGCCCCCATCATCTTTGCTGTTGTCAGCTGTTCGCATTGCAGATGTTTCGGGGGGGGGCTGGTTTGGTTCAAATGGGACATGTGTTTATTTGGTGGTCTTGTTTGTAAATTCAAAAGGTCTCGTTCGCAACTTGGCGGATTCTTGACAACGTAACTTTACTGAAATGATTGTGCGTTCCAAGCAGGCAAGTTTTGACGGTGACTTGTTGACTTCGTCGATGATCCGCGGGCCCCGAGTAATTTATGTGGAAGCTTCCCGCTTTTGGTACCAACCTGGACCTTCAAACTCTGGAAAATGTCTGTGAGTTTTAGGAGACCCCTACAATTTACCGAATTCCAGTGGTTTAGCCACAATTGGGGCAAAAACACATACGATTTGCATCGTTTCCAGTCGCGCATTGGCCATACAAAGCAAGTACACCTCGCAGCACTTGCCAACGTGCCAGTGAACACCATAAAATGCCCTGATCATTCAAAACTACGACTTTTTTCTGATTTGCGGGAGTTTGCAGGTTTTTGCGGGAGATCTGCGCGTTTTGCGGTCAAAATGGGTACGTTTTTTCTGCACCGCACAACTTTGGACCGCCGTTGCATGATTTGACAAGCAAGCCGTTTACCCCTGCAAAGCTTCCTTTAATCTGTCAAAGGCCGCGAGCATTGCAATAGTGTGCTTTTTAGGAGTTTTAGGAGTTTCAGGTTTTTGCGGAAAAAAACGCTACGATTTCCCGAATATCCAGTCAAAGGCGGAAACTACGGTGTTTTCTTTCAGGAGGACGAAGGTCCAGGGATGGAGGCTTCCCAAAATTGAGGGCCCCAAATTGCGCTTCGGATCGCTTCCGTTTCTGTTGGTTTCGCTGAGCCGGCCGCATTGCCCTAGGTCGGGTCAGCTGGTCATCCAGTTGCTTGCAACGCCCCGTGTGCTTCAGCCAAAACGGGGAAGGGGGTTGCGGCACGTTGTGGGTCCCTGATGTTCGAGCAGGAGTCTTTGGTTAGTCTCAACATGGGTGTGGTTTGTTCGATGGTAGCTTCTTTGCGCTTTAAACTTGAAACTTTCAAGGGACACCTCAAACGGACACCACCCATCTTGAATTCGAAGGAACCCCAAATGGGCTTTGAAAACAGCGTTCTGTCATTCAAGAGAGCATCCCATTCGTAACAAGCAGTTAGTCGTTGGAGAGGACTTGTGATGTTCCCACAGCCCTGCCCCAGAATGACCTCAACTCCCCGAAATTATCCTGCGTTGCAAAATCGAACGCTGGATCTTAGTCCTGGGGTGACGAAGCACAGAACCCTAGCTGCCATGCTTACACCTTGGCAGGCAGCAACCAGCATCCTTGTGTCAACTTGGTGAGGGCCAGTTGGCATTGTGTGGGAAAGCGTGCAACTATGCCATGCTACTTCGGTCGCTTCGGTGGCCTGTCGAGGTTGAGTTTGCGTTTGCTCATGGGGGTATGGGTCAAAATTTAGCCACCAGGGGACCGCAGGTTTTAGTCCTTGGTTCCGTTTACCGGGGTTCCATTTTAAGTACCCATTTTTGGCCCACAGCCATATCTCCCGCTGCAAATGAGACGCGAACCACCCTGAAAAGGTTTGAAGGGAGAGGCTGCTCGGTGCAGGGTGAGCGGAGCCTGATTTAGACTTGACGGGGGTCAACTCACGCATGGGCAACCTCTGATGGCTTGTTTACGTATTGTGCAGACGATTCTATTGGGAGTCCCTCAGACTTGCAGTCGCTTCACCGCGCTTCACCGGGTAGCTCTATGTCTTACTTTTGGAGTTCATTCGTTTTCTGAAAGGTCACGGACGCAAACCGGTAACAGTGCGGCGGCCGCTTCTTGAATCGATGTTGCGTCCCGAGGCAAATATGCCCACAAGCTTCGGGGCTGCAAAGATGGCCGCCATTGCACGCGATGCCACATTTGCAGATGGCACAAGTGCGCGGCTCAGGTCAGGTCGACACCCCGAGAAAACCTGCACCTGAAGGGGTGTTTGCATGTTGCCAGGAAACCTATTCCTGGAACTTCATGATTGCAGTTGTTCTGCTTACTCGCTTGTTTAGGCAGAAGTTCCGGAACATGGGCAACTTGTTATGTGTTCGCATGTTTCAACCAGCCCGGGTGAAACAGTGTTGCGACTAATTCTGAGTCATCGGAAGGGCAGACGCATAAATTGGCAGGACATACGCAGAAATCAGCGCGAAACACGTGCAAATGTAGCGGGAAATATGCAGCCATCCGTGGAACCAACAAAACCGACTTCAACATCTCGAAGAGGCAGGATTGAAAACAAGCGTTTTGTGTCGAGAAAAAAAAAGGGGAGAAAAAAAAACGCCTTTTGGACAAGCATCAGTTGTTGGGGTTGAGTTCAAGGGAAAGGGGGACGCTCTTGGGACATGCATCCAGGTATCTACTGGATAAAGAGACAAGGACCTGTTTTTTTCTGCTTCTTTGGGCAGTGGTTTGAACATTTCCTGGGAAGTGCGGGAAGCCCTTCGAAATGTGGTGGAATCTCAACACAAGCGAAGTCAGCTGCTGGTGGAATGACGCAACCCGGTGCAACGCTGTTGGATGTACGGTTTTGGGCGTTGTTTCTGTCGGTGGGGGCCTCACTGTAGTGATTGCTCAACCAGGCTTGTGAATTTGGAATAGCCAACCATCGATTGCAAGCTGAGGCAATTCAGATTGAACCGTGTTTTGTTTGAGCTACAGTTGATCACCAACTCAAGCAAATTTAAGCCGCCACTGGAGTAGGAAGCCCGTTGTTTCTTTGGGCTTTGGGTAGTTTATGGATATTTCCATTGGGATGCAAGGAATTCGGTTGCACTTTCTCGAAGGATAGATTGCTGAACAGAAGGACATTTGTGGACATAGACATTATATGACGGCAGTGGCTAATTGCTTTAGTTGCCACGATTTTTCTAGAAAAGCATGCCATCAGCCAAATGCTTAACAGCCCCGCCAAAAAAATCCACCCAGCAATGCAAACGCACTCGAGCAGGACATGCCATGCACCTGCTGCAAAAACCATTGAAACGGGTATGGGTCAAAATTCAACCACCAGGGGACCGCAGTGTTTCCATTTACCAGGATTCCATTTTGGGTATCACCCACAGCCAAACATCCACCCCCCCGAGAGCAATGCAGATTGGCATGGCGCGCCCCCAAAGAAAAACCAGTCTCCGCCTATGCTTTGCAGGCCTGGGCCAAGTCAGCTTCCAGCCACACGCTGGGAGCCAGCAGGCGGGGTTCAGGCGGTCTGGCTGGATGGCGGGCTGGCTGTGCTTGCTTGCTTGCTTGCCTGCCTGCCTGCGTGCTTGTTTGGTCGGTGGGTCGGAAATGTCACCCTGAAGATAAAGCATGTCGGGTTGCAGTGACAATGGGTGACTGCGTCGATTACGACATGATGATCCAGTATAATCAACTTGGGCATCACGGGGCAGTACATCCTGTAGGACAACATGGAATCGCAGGTGGCAGCAACATGTTGAGGCCACAAGCTGTAGAGGCAAAGGGGCGTGAGATTGGGGTGGACCGTTGTTGCAGTCCAAGCTCAGCTTACATTGCTTGGTCATACCAAGCAAAGGCGCTAAACATGACCTGGCCAATCGTGGCACGCTTGATTTCGCAACCGTGGTAGCCAAATCAGCCCTGCCAAACCCTTGTTTTCCAATGACTTGAAACAAGGGGGAAGCTGGGCGGCTGGATGGTAACGGCTTGGGCTGCCAAACTGGCATGAATCCACCACTTTTGACGCCAGGTTTTGTCGTTGATGAGCCGGAGAGTGTGGGGCCTGAAATCAGGCTTTGATTCTGTCTCTTGACATAGCAGTGCATAGAGCCCCTCAGAGAGCGGGCAACGGTGCTTCGTCGCATATGCCACATGAAGTGGCTTCACGTCAGAGTTCTGTGCGCCCATGACAAAGGTGGTGGTCAGCTTGCGACGCTGCACAGTTTCTGTCATTCACCGGTGTCTTGCAACACCCACTTTCAAAAAAGCTGCTGCCCTGGAGGAAGCTTCGTGAGAAAGAATCCTGGGCATAGCGTACCATGGTGTAGCCAAAGAGCCAGTTTACAGATTGGGGCAGTCGCCGGAAAGTCTCTCGGAATGGTTGCTCAATTGGAGCGCTGTCTTTCCGCAAGCAGCAAGGTCTGATTAATTTCAGAGATCTGCAGTCCTTTTTGCTAGCATCCTTGGACTGCATCGTGATGATGCATCGCCAGATGATGCAGGGTGCAGGTATGTGATGGTTTTCCAATGTTCCGCATTCTCCGTCGTTGCTCACCAAACACCAAGGTCCAAGACTTGAAAAGGAAAAACTCTAGGGAAAGGCTCCTACATTCACAACTTCATTTGATCGATTTGCCCGTAGAAGCCCTTCTTGTGAGCAGTGTTTACGGACACGGATGGGCGCGGTCATTGATTCAGTGGCATGATGGCTCGATGTTGCAGAACGTTGTGGCCAATGCTCCGGCTGCCTCCCTGCGGATTATGAAGCCCAGCACGGTTTCCCGAAGAGATTCCTCCAAAAATGGCAATGTCGTGGTAGTGCATGCTAGTGCTAGTATGCAGGAGTGTCCTTGTCGCTGCTCTGGCCATTGACAGAACTCGACATTCGGCCCATGCGCTGCCTTCGTGATTCCTGTTTCCGGGGCCTAGCCGCGAGTCCACGTATGCTGCTCGAGCGCGGTTTACTAGTTCCAAGCAGGAAAGTGGAACTCCGGCGCTGCCCAGTTCTGTTGCAGGTATTTCCTTTTTTCTACCAAGGTCACTGGCCTGGTATTGTCTCACGCTGTGCGGCAGATAGCAGCAACGCACGAATCCTTTGCCCAAAAGCTCGACTCATTCCGTTGAATACACACACTGCATCTTCGGTAAGACTAATCAAAGCAACCACACATTTGTATAGCAAAAGGAGGGTAAGTTTGAATGTAGTGTGCCAATGTGTGAGGTTAGGGAACCCCTGAAAAGGATTGACCTTTGTTCTTCTATCTGATTTTGAAAAACCACAACATGGGTATTCTCAAACTGTTTGACACGCACGTGTGTGAATGTGAGCCACTGCCTTGGCCTTTTTCCAACATGACTTGGGGCCAAGGCTCTTCTTGCTTGTTTTTGTCCACACATTGCAGCTTATTTGGCCAAGCAGATCCGAGTAACGCAAGCAACCACTGGCATCAATTATTAGTCATATCTTGCACCTGCTAAATTGGAAAGCTGAGAATGGCTAACATCCACCCAACATAGCTCCAACCATTTAGAGCTGCGACATCCAAACAACAAACAACACATACATAGTTTGAATCAGTTAGGGACACCCGGAGTGTGTGACAAGAGCCATCTTATCGCCTTTATTGATTGCAGGTCCAGCCATAAAAGGCTTCGCCTTGGATGCCAACCTCGGCTATGAGTCCTTTTCTGGCTCGCGGGTCGGCGAAATATGAATCCCCGGCCAGTGTTGCCCCGAGCTTCAGGGCTTTCCTGACAGCGGGAGCTCGCACCAATGATGCCAGCTCTCCTGACCAGTAGCGGGAGGCTCAGGGTTTGAAGGCTGCGGCGGTCTTGAAGCAGGTAGTTCTCATAAAGGTTCTTGCTGATTGTTTTGAGAACAGCTGCACAATGAGGCCCGTCGTGAACCGGATATCCCTCATAGAGCCTGAAACAACCCAGACCAGCTACCGCTATCACTTGCCCAACAAGTTTTAGAAAGCATGGCTGGCGTGCTTTGATTTCCTTCGGCACGCTAAGGGTGTGAGTCAGGTGTAGTTGAAGCGCAGTTGTTCTGCTTCGGGCCACCGACATTTGAATCGGTGGTGAATTCCGGCAGCTGCACAGAGCAAACACTCGCACCACCAAATAAGTTTGAAGAAGGATACCGTGCTCTGGCACTAAAACTGATTGAAGGAGCTTGGGGATCTTTGCAGCAATTTGTCCGGACAGGCTGACCAGCCTGTCTGACATTTCCAGCCACACTGTGCTTCAGCAGGGGTTGCAGATCGTCGCAAGGCAGCCAGCCGTAAAGACCAAACATCAAGTGAAGCAATGACGCGGCGTGAACGCATTCCCCAAGGTTCGCTTGGGTATGGCCGCTTGCAGCCAACTGGGTTCTGCTCAGAGTTGGCGCTGAGCGTCAGTGCGTTGAAGAACACATTTTGCCCAACCCTGCCAGATGTAGATATAGTTCCTTTGCTCACGGCAGAGCTGTAGCAGAGTGAGCCCTCGCTCTCACATGGTCAGATTGCTTACATGTTGCCCGGTGCTTTCGCAAAAGCGGTAGATGCTACCGGGTAGAGTGCTGGCAGTGCTGTGAGGGGTTGTCTGAAAATATGTCATGGCGTGTGCATGTGGTTTTTGTTTTGTTTCTCCGATGCATTCCAACACTCAAATCTGTGGTACCCTCCCACCAAGTATGGAAGCGCTAAGAATGTTTATTCTCACGTCAACTAACATGGAACCTGACAGGGGGTGCCTTTAAAAGGAAAATGGTCACATCCAGGACCCCTGTCAGGTTCCAAATTAATTCGTGGGAGGGTACTCTCCTTTTGGACCGGGTTGCGCTGCATTTCCATTGGCGGAAAACAAGTTGTGTGAGGCCCAAAACTTTATAGGCGTTGAACTCGAGGGTTTCGAGCTGACCAGGAAATACACAAGCCAACATCCATGAAGGTGCAGGGGATCCCTTATTTCCAGCTTGGGAAGTACGCAGGCCGATGGATCTTTCGGGGGGGTATTTCCGGACCTTTTTTTTCGCGTGGCAATCAAGCTAGAATTTGCTAGGGTTCACCCACGTGTTTCCCGTGTGTTTGGGGTTCTGATTCTATTTTCATGGGCTGGGGGGGAGGGACGGGGGGGGAGCCCGAATACGCCCCAAACAAGGCCTTTTAGGGCTTAACAAGGGCTTATTTGGGTCCCTCCCCCTCCCCTCCCTCCCCCCCAGCCCCCATGATATAGAGATGCTGGCTGAGCGATGCTGCCCCGTATTGTGAGCGATGACTGGGTGATGCTGGGGGCCTTCCGCTGGGTTGATGCATTGCACGCCGAGCTCGGGGTTTAGTGAGATTTGGTTGCGAAGCGAAGGCTTGCGGCCGTCGGCAACCTGGAAATGTCGGATCATGTCTTGCGATGGTTGAATCTGCACGTGGTGTGGCAGATAGATATGTGTGTGTGCGCTTGATTTGTCTGTGGTTGTCCTCAGTCGGCTGCCACTCGTGAGTGGGCTTGCTGGTGGGGAGGCTGAGTGTGTGCCGGGTAGGTGTTGTTTGCAATGTTGGCGATGCTGGAAGGTGCCCAAGATGCTGACGCCGTCGCCGGTGCCCTGGGTGCCCTCCGCATCAGTTGTCCCCTTGGAGTGTGCGTTTCAGTTCGTGGTTTGCGGGCCGTTGCAGGACAAGGTTTGCCGTCTTTTGGCACCCTTGCAGCATGCTATGCTGACATGGGTAGTGTTACTATGTGTTACTCTGCGGCGCGCCTCCCGGCCTCCAGAATTCCACGGCTGCTTGGCCCGTGCAGACTGCCCCCCAAAACATTCGACGCCTTCTTTCAGAGGCAAAAGCGAAAGCTTGCTGCCTCTGGCATGCGGTTGCCGGCAACTGGTTGCTTTGGTGATTGTGGCGCCCCGCCGCTTCGACACTATTCCTAGCTCATGCCGGTGCTAGCTGAAATCAGTTTGGTCTTTGGAGTGCCTTGTTTGAGCCAACGCTTCTCGCCATCGCCACGCTTGCTGCATGCTCATGACTCATGCTGGTGATGTCGCAGATGCCGTTGCGGTTCCCGTCACATGCCCGGTTTGCAGAGGCTACCTCAATCGGTTTTGGGGAATTGGGTGCCTCCAACTACGTATCTCCCATGTACATGTATATGATGATTTGCCTGTCGAGGGTGGTGTCGCATTCCGAAGTTAACAGAATCAGTACAAGCGCCCTTTGCTCAAGCTATATTCAATTCTACAATAGCAGTGGTAGCTTTTGGGTCATAGACTCTCATGGACTGGTGTCAGATGCGTTAGACTTTGTGGGTGGACATTCTGGAGCTTAGGCATTGCCATGAACTCTGCGCTCTGGCAGAGGAGTTTTTTCATGTTGGCTGCCTTTGGCTGGAGGCTTTGAAGGCAGCGCAGAGCGTGGCTGGACAAGCCTTTGCGCCGAAAACACTAGCTTCGTCGGAAGTTCTTTCTAGAAAAGCCGCTTCTGCCGTGTCGTCCCGTGTTTTGCGATGGTGGGGGGAAGGGCTGCGAGGGCATGCCGCTTGAAGAAGGTGTTGCAGGAGTCTTAGATTTACGTCGACGATCGATGGGTGCTTGTTGTGTGTCGGTTGCTAGCAACTTGAATGCTGACTCCTGCCTGAGCGTGCGTCCCTGTTGTCGCTTTTTTGAGGTTGCGCCTGAAACATGGATCTGAATTCTAGAGGATCCGTTGGTGGACATGTTTGGTATGCAGAATCTGTCCACAAAGCATTTTCGAGGGGAAACCCAACTGTTCATAGAAATGTCCATGCTTGTTAGGCAGTGGCGTTGGTCGCTTCTCCAAATGCACAAACGGTTTGCCATGACTCGCCTGCCGTGGGAATCAAAGGGCGCCGTTCTTTTCGCTTCTTATTTTTAAACAAACACCTGCCCCTAGAACGAAGAAAGGAAGGTGGAAATGCCAGAAACAGCACCCTTTGCAGAGATCAGTCTTGTGGCTTGTTTGTTGGATTGCTGATGTCAGGTGTGTCCAAGCGTCGGAACCATGCAAGAAGATGCAAGCCATTGCCGCCTGCGTGAAGTGGCAGATAAATCGGCGAGGGAACGGCAGATTGTTGAGCGCTTGTGGGCCGATTTGCCCTTTCACCCACTACGCCTGAAACGGCTCCATTTAAGACTGGGCTATTCGCAGGCAATCCTTAATCCTTACCTTGGGCTAGGGATCTTGAGCACAGGAAAAAGAGTAGTTGGACCTGGGGTCTTCAAGGGGCAAGGCTTCTGAAGAATATGGTGCTAGTCCAAGAACGGGCTTTGCCTTGCTTCCACATGTAGTTGTGCATGCGGCATGCGCTTATGGACTACAGCAGAATGAGGCGAAGCAAAGTCGGCGAAACTTGCCACCATGTTCTTAAAGGTCCCTTTTGTGATTGAAGTATTGCCTATTGGGCCAATTTTTGATTGAGTCTCCCGGTGGCGACAGGGACCATCGGCCAGTCTTCTGAGTTGCTTTCGGTTTCGCCGGCGGGCGAGGCTTTGCGCCGGAGGTGCTGGGAAGAGCGGGCCATGTGGAGGCTTGAGTCAAGCCATGGGGGATGCAGACCATTCAGTCCGAATTCGGGGCACGGTTTTGAGTGTGCAAAAACACCACGTGATTGCTCGTTCATATTGTGTGACACCAGGTTTCTTTTGTTTGGTACAAGTAGCGGGGGGTTTGCAAACGCGTGCGCCAAACCGTCGGCTAAACCTGCGGTTCCCTTTGGAGGCTTGAATGTCAAATCAGGGAAACAAAAGCAATGCGATGCGCAGTCTGGACACGTAGGCGGATTGGACGCAGTGTTCGCAGTCCGGAAGGGGGGAGGGGGGGTGCGAAACTGGCTGTTTGCGGTTGCAGAAGTTCGCAGTCGGCGCCCACGTGCCAAGGACCACTTGGATGATCAAATGCCAGTACTAGTGCATTATTTGACCATGGTCAAAAGGGAACTACAAGTGACCCCTATAGACATGGCAACCTGTTGAAAATCCAAGTCTCCCTCAATGTAGCGTCACGCAACTTTTGCTTGAGGCAACGGCATAGGACTCGGCCGAAGAGCCCCGCACCGCGAGCCGCGAGCGATCGGCCAGTCTGTCGGGAGTCCAGCAGATACATTGGAGCTGCGGCAACGATTTCGCATCCCACCCAGCTGGAGAGTCAGAGGGGGCCTGAGAGATATGTGGAATTTCGACAAATTATGTACTTGACTGCTACTGGGTTGGATCTTTAGACTTTAACCTTTTGGGAAATCAAAGGGTTTACCACTAAACCCACAAACAGTTAAACTTTTTGCAGGGGGGTCAGCAGCAACCAAGATACCAGTCTTCTTTCCTTTTGGCCCGTTTTTTTGTCAGAACTCCGAGGGGTTGGCCTTTTATGTCCGGGTGTGGGCCTGTTGTGCAGGGACTTTGGAGGCCGATGCGGCGTGCAAAATCACAGGCAACAGGACGTGCTAAAGAGACAGGCGTTCACACCACATGCCGTAGATCAGAGAACTGCGGGAGCGAATCGCACATGAGGCTAAATATGAACATGTCACCAGTGCCCTTGCTGTCGCAAGTGAGCTCTACCTGACCTGCATGGCCGCACAAGCCCTGACATGAGTTAAGCCCGTTGTCTATTGGTTGCAGACTGGGATGGCAGCAAGCGTCGGTGGTGCCTTTGAAGGCTTCATCCCATAGCAACCATAGCAACCCTGTCTCCACATCAATGATTCTGTTGAAGCAAAGTGCCCTGAGAGCACCTTCTCTCGCTCTCAGGAGGGTGAGCTCAGCCCATCAACCATTGCACGGAAGCCCGGAGAGCAGCCGTCGATCTTCTTGTGTGGGAGAATAAGAGGCGAAAAGCGAGCTTAAATCAGAAGTTGCTTCTTCAGCCGAGCTACCTGTGCAAAATGCTTCACCTGTGGGCATGCTGGCTGTAGTGGTTGCACAGCTTTGACCATCATGTGCACATGAGGGTTTTGGAAGGCTATCGTTAATTTGGTCGCTGGTCCACTTCCATGGTTGTTTACCTGGCTGAGTGATCAGTCGCTTCATCCGCCGGGGCTCCTGCTTTTGTCAAAGGGAAGTCTCATGTCTCATGTTGGCTTCAGAGTGGACAGCACGCAGCAAGACGGCTCTGGTGTTCCTAGTAAGCATTTGGCACCTTGGCCTTGGAATCTACTTAACTGATACGGGGCTACACAATTCCTAATGATGACTCCAGAGCTTTTTGTTTGAGGGAGTGACCCTCACACAACCCCCAGGAACCCCCTAGGAACCCTCCAGAACCCCCCAAACCAACTTTATGTTAATGAATTGAATAGCATTGCAGGACCAGTATTTTACATAATGTTAGTCTATGTTTGAGAAACAAATATGGCATTTTCCTTTTTACATCATTGTGAATCGTATTTACGGTAGCTCCATTCGAATGGTGTATCAGTTGCATGTATTGTTCGCATACGTGATTTTCTGAAAATACTATTTACTTTGTCTTAATGAGGACAGCATTGCTGGGTAATGTTTTGGCACATGGCCAAACGAGTTTATGGAGTATTGCAGTAACTACATGTTTTATTAGTTATATGCCATGGCATTTCTCTTGGAATGGCTTGCGGAGCACATTCTCTTCACAATCCGACGTTGAATAGCTTTGTCTTTCGCTTGCCATCTACATTATGTTCTTGTGGTTTGCTCCTTATCATGTGTAAAATCTACATTTTCTATCTTGTAATACTCCTAAAAGGAAATCCGGGACAACAAGAGCGCCTATTCAAACGCTGACACGCCCTGAATGAATCCTACGCCAACCCAAAAGTAACGGAACCTAACTCAACTTTCCCTGGACACACATCCCCACAAAGGAGCCAAACAAAAAAAAAAAAGAGCACATCCGAGGCAGGGGGAGACATCTCAGAGGACTGGGCTCGGGATCAACTTATGTGTGCTGCTGGCTTGGCTTGGGTAGATGGCTGGCAAGCCGCCAAGTCCGGTTTGCTAGTGAACTGCGCATGCAACCCTAGGTTGGTACAGGCCCTTGAAACCAGAGAGCGTCATATTGCTGGGCGTTGCTTTGCAGCGTTTTCAGTAGACGTGAGTCATGGAGGTCAAGCCCTGGACGCTTGGACGGTCCTTGGAAAACCTGATGCGGACCCGAGGCACAACTTCACTTGCGCTGTGGCACTAAGCTGAAAGCAGGCCGCTTGGCAGCGCTCTGCTCTTTTTTGCGAGTCCGCACATGGTCGGGATGCTGACGAACAAACACACACACACACAGACACAGACACAGACACAGACACAGACACACACACACACACATCCCCCCAGAGGCAGCACAGGGCAAGGCGTCGCAAGTGATCTTCCAATGGGCAAAGGCCTTTGAGATGAATTTTGGGGCTTGCCTGCGCCATCTCCAGGACACGTCACCAGGCCCTCGGGCCCAGGAGTGCCAAATCGAGTCGCTGGGAGAGAGGCCCTGGAAGATGCCAACTTCAGGTTGGTTGGTCTGGAGATGTCTGGATTGGGGCATGGTTCAGTTCTGATTTTCGTGTGAGCCACTTGTTTTGCCAGGTTGGACCTCACATCCCCGACCCTCAAATCATACCATGGCTTTAGTTTGGGATGTACTTGTTTGCTAGCTTACCGTATTTGTTTGAAGGCTGCCTCG